TAAGAATATGGGGGAACTGATGTCCACACGGGTCCCCTTTAACCCTAAAAGTAGACCTGCTCAACCGCCAACTGTTTGGATGCACAGCTTTTGATAAGTCTACAAAGCTAAGACAGTTGCAGAGAAAAGTTCTACATTCAGCTCTGCGAATTGCTGTCTGCTTCTCTGACATAGTTATTAGTGTGTCATAAAAAAAAAAATAATTAAAAACTTAAGAAAAGCTGAGTTTCTTTTTTTATATATATAATGTGGAATCTAAGCCCTTCAGTCATTGCACAACTCCAAAAAGATACCCTTGTAGCTTTTCACCCTCCTCCGAAATAACATGGCCCAAACAACAAACTTATTTCTGAACCTACTAAAATTTGTATAACTAGTTTATACTTTCCTTTGCTTCATATTCTAGCAGATATTGTTTTATCCTTGGCCTGTATTAGGAACTATTTCAGCTAAATCTATAATTGTCAACAGTCTTGCATCAATTCTTCTTGTAGATCCCAAAGCATTTGGAATATCTTTGAAATCATTTTCATCAAATTGTGATAGTAAAGAATGCTGAGTTCTTTTATCTCATGCTAAATTTTGAACCCAAGCTGTTGTATTAAACTGAATTTTATAAGGCTGCTTATAGTTCTGTGTCATGGCTATAAAGCCAGCCTGGTTTGTGTCGTGCGGACATAGTTAGAAATCAGATGCACCTTCTGCAGCTTCTAAACGCAGGCATCTGTCTCTCCACTGTGCTTCACTGGTCTTAACAAATGACAAATGATTTACCCATGATAAGCAGTACATTCCTTACATCTGTGTAATAACACCCCATCTATGTACATAATTTGTGTAGCCATTATAGTAATGTCTTCTTTCAGAAACTGTTTTGCACATATTCAAAGTGTTCTACTGTTCAACTAACAGACTTTCATCCAGTGGATCTGACAATGTGCTTCTAGCATAGTGTATATAGACAAAAGTAGATTTTGTTGAAACGCTATTTATATGTTTCACACATTCGGCCTTCATGCCCCCCTGTTTGGGAAAAATTGCTTAATTTTCCCATCAATTCCCATCCTAACAAATTAATGTGGTGAGTTGGTGACATTACTACAAAAACAGAACCTTGCAATGGTTTTAGTCCTACATTATCTTGAATGCAAATTTTACAGGCTCCTGAATTGCATTGAACTGCTTGTCTAATAATTGTTAAAACTATTCACGTTTTTGCCTTTAATGCATTTAATATCCCCCATGCTTCATACACATCTATTATTTTAATGTCTCCCCCATTTGCTCAAACACCTATTCACACTCAGATGAAGAACTTCCCCTGTGGAGCGTTCAACACCCCCTTTTTCCGGTATGTAGCTTGCATGACTAAAATAATTTTCTTGTGGGTTTATTAATTTTAAATTTTGGTTCCGAAATTACAGTTTTGGAGACCCTGCAGACGCATTAGGAAGGCTGTCAATTAGAACAACGCTGCAGTCATCGCTCCACTGACATCCCCCCTGC